TGAAAGTAGCACGCTTTAATGAATAGAGTAGCGTTTATTTATCTGCTCGATCGTGCAAAATATATTTCCATTTATTTTAAAATTGTATTTATCAATCGCATCAGACGATGCTTAGCTATTGAACTAGGACAAGTGATAAAAGTAATAATTGATTCTCTCTAATAGAATATTCATATTATACAATATCGCTTTCGTTCATTGTTATGGTTCGTACGTCAAGAAAACAGGCATGAACGTTTCTCCGCACAACTTCATTTTACTTATATAAGAGAGATAAAAATCTCTTTCTGTTAAAGAAATATTTTCTACATTCTTCATGTTATGATATAATATAATAATGTAGCCATGTTAAAAGTTACTGCATGCAGTATTTTAAAATTGTATGACATTTATGTTATCGCTAATAGTCATAAGAACCAGTAATGTAAATTACACTTGTAAACTATTCAGCCTATTTCATCTTCTCCTATTGAAGATATTTGTGAAGTCTTTCCTCTGTAATTTTTGCAAAAAAGAGTGCTATTATTTTGAAAATGACGTATATATAGCTAAGAAGTAATTATCATTAGAGCTAGTTAGAATAATATTGAAATAATATGTTAAAGGCCACCTTCCGTAACAGTATCCACAAGACGTACCGTAAGAATCAGCCAATCATAGTAGAGGATTCTTTTGAACTTTTAATTCCAATTGGCTGATTCTTACGGTACGTCTTATGGTTACTATTACGGAACGTGTGTGTCATGGCCTAATCGTCGTTATTCGAATGAGTATTATATGTACTTAATTATTAAAGCGCCTCCAAACGATATATATGGCCAATGTATACATCAACTTTGCAGACATTCGTTAAATATTAGCCTACATTCTTCAATATGGATAATTACGTATATCATATATGTGTATGATATTTGCTAATGTTGGTATACGTTAGCTATACTTATTGTCTGGAAGCGCCTTAACGAGAACTTAAGATTTTGCACGCAATGCTTCTGTTACGTAATCTCACCTCCGCGAGATGTGAATTGATATGAGGAAAACGTTTGCAAAAATTGTGGACATACGTTGCGGTGCAATTAATCGGAAACGATAGCACAGTGAACACAATAGAAACGTAAATCGTGCTCGATTTGATTAGCCGCACGGAATTAACGGCGAGATATTGGACGCGAAAAAATTGATGAGATTTAGACATAGAAGTAATTAATGAGGTTGTTTTCATTGCCATAGGTCGGATTTTCAGGGAAAATCCGTTTATTATCTAGAATAACATATCACTCATCGATTATCATATAATTAACAAGATTGTGCATGAATGGGAAATGCAGGACGCATTTCTGCTTGCGATTTTAATCGAATTTCCTCTTTTTCTATTCTCTGCTGTTTGTTTCCTTTTGCCTCTTTTAACATCGCTCAGCTTATTGTCTATAGAGACTTATGCTACAGTAAAAAAAAAAAAACAATTTAACCAGGTTTCACCTCGCGTGCAAGTTGATTAACTTTGATCGGAGATTCCGGAGTCCATTTAAGACGCTGAATTACGAACGATTGGTTACAGAATCGTCGCCGAGGGACGAAGCATTACGCCCGAGGCCGACGTAAACCTCCTGGCGCCGATCACGCGCATGGACAAGCTCGCCTGCATCGGCCTCAACTACAGTGGACATTGTCAGGAGCAAGGTATACCGACTCCGGAGAGTCCGGTGGTCTTTAGCAAATTTCCCAGCAACATCATTGGACCCCGCGATAACATCTTGCTGCCGCAGATCTCAGATGTAAGTCGACGACGAAGGAGAAGGACAAGAAAAACATCGAGTCGATTACACTGTTCGAAAATAAAATTACTTTTTCTCTCCTCGAAGTGCCATAGTACATACCCTGAAGATTTTTTCGCGCTGAACTCGCTATTGGCAGAATTTACGTAGCACGTCAGAAGTTTAAATAAATTGAGGGCAAAAATGATGTTTCTGATCAAGATTCTTTTACGGAAAAACCAAACCTTGTTTCTAAATAAAGTCTACGGCATCTCTAAAAATATAATTAAAAAACTTTCAAATAAATTTTATTTCATAATCATACAACTCATTTTTATTAAGTTACGGTTGTTCGAATTTTTGACTTTTGTATAATTACATAGTTCAACAAAAAAAATCACTTTTTTTGTTCAAAATGTTATATCAAAGATTTACTTCAGAGTTACTTCAAAGATTTTTTGCGTTGAACACGATGCTATTATCAGAATTTGCATAGCACGTTAGGATTTTTAGTAAATTGGGATGTAATAGTAAATTGAAGTGGTTTAGACTAATTTCAGCCCAATTTATTCAAAATCCTAATGTGTTACGTAAATTCTGATATAGTATCATGTTTAGCAGGAGTTTAAAAAATCTCCCAAGTATGTATTACGGCACGAGAGAATTTGTTAAACAGTGTGCTCGAAACACGATGCCTTTTAAGGATCATGTCGATTCTGTTGGGAATCATTTTTAGTCCGAGATTACGCCATGACTTCCACTTTCATTATTGTTCTATTCGTTCCAAGTTGTGGACATACCACTCTATTATGACAGTTTCTTCTTCATAGAGTCAATAGAATGGTTTCTCGCGGAGTCTGCAGCGACTGTAGCTTGAATACCAATCGGGTTTGCGTGTCTAATTGTTCAAAAGGACATTATTAGTCATTATGTACCTTATCCTTGACAGTTTTGATACTCTAAAAAAATAGGATATGATGTGTTTTATACAGGGATTACATTTTGGAAATCGCATTGCACGCTTGGTTAATCTTTCATCCATCTACAATTATATTTTTACTTTCTCTGCTTACAATCTCCGCTATCTACAATTTTGTTTGTTCAGCCCAAATTTTTTTTAATGTTCTGGGCTTTCAAAAAGATGTGAAAAAATTTACAGTTATTTTTCAACATCTCTATTACCAAATAGATATACTTAAGATATTTTAGAAAAGAGAACCGGATTCCATCCTCCTTTATTTTGGAGAAATTTAAGAATAAAATTTCGCTTGTGCGCGACAAAAAAGACTCAGATTGCAGACAGGGAATTAAAGCGCAATCGGTTTTTGGATTTACAGAAGGTCGATTGGGAGGCGGAGCTGGCGATAGTGATCGGCAAGAAATGCAAAGGCCTCAATAATGACGATGTCGAGGACTGTATCTTCGGTTACACAGTGGCACAGGATATAACGGCGCGTGATTGGCAGAAATCAAAGCGAAATGGTGGTCAATTTCTACTTGGTAAAGGAATGGACACATTCTGTCCCCTTGGTCCGGCTGTAATCACCAAGGAAGCAATAAGCGAAATTAACAATTTATCCGTGAAGACATGGGTGAATGGCAATTTAAAGCAAGATGGCAATACCAGCGAACTCATCTTCAAACCCCACGAAATCGTCGCTTATCTTTCGCAGTTAGTATTTTTCTCGACGATATTAATCATATAATTAAGAATATGTAATAACGATGTTAACATTTCAGGTTTATGACGTTGTTACCAGGCGACGTGATCCTTACCGGCACGCCGGCCGGTGTAGGATTCACACGTAATCCACCTGAATATCTGCAGGTATAATTTTATGTTTAATAAATTAATTAAATTATAATATTCTTCAGTATGTGTGTATGATACGTCGTCATTAATATTCATTAATGCGCAGTATTTTTCAATTTATATAAATTCCTAAATTGTATTCGATTGCGTGTTTCAGCGTGGCGATGTACTTGAAACTGAAATCGAGAGTCTGGGACGTCTGAGAAACAAAGTGATCTGATCTAAGAGACGGAGCACACCTTTGGTTAAAGCGTTAACAGAACTTCGTGATCCTTACAAGACTGGACCTATGTTCCTTTAGGGATCGACATCCGCGATGACGTTGAACTAATCTAAGAGTTGTGTCTGGGATCTGATTCCAAATGGGTATATAAAAATATGCATTTTAATACGAATGCTAATGATTTCAACGCGATTGCGAATGTCCATATCAGAGGTAGTATTACCCTTCTCAAGAAGCTAGATTTTTATTGACAGTATCGTTATCGTTATACTGTCGTTGCAGCTTTTTTATCATATATCTGCGTAATGAGACAATATAACGATAACATCACTATATTAAGAGTTACAGAATCTAGCACAAACAGGAAACAGGGCGCTTAACAACATCGATAATGCAATAACGCTAATTTTTTATGTGTCATATTTTACGAATTTATATAATTAAAGCAAAATTGTTTCTACTGTGTCTTTATTAACTTATCCCATCCCACATAAATTTAACAGCAAAAATTTTACATCGAATTATTTAAACGAAAGAATCTTTTTTATCTTGATCGCGATATTTATTAAGTCGTAGTATTTTTTAATTCATGCAAGCTTCATTAAAGTCGTCAGTCTGAAATATTAAAATAAAATTGTGTTGGTCCAAATGTTATAGTGCATATCCAATTATACCAAGTACTGCAAAACGTGTATTTTTTTTTATATAATTCATTTAAAAATACGTATTCTATCACAGAAAATGTATCACCATATATTTATATAGTATATAATTATAGCAATATAATTACAATATATATTCAAAATTATTTATTTATGAAATACATTGTTAACGTATAACACTTTAATAAATGTGCCTTAATTTTTTTATCTCAATCGCCTCTCTCTCTCTCTTTCTGTCATTAATTATATATTTTATTGTTAATCTCAAGAGCTCAATTTTATCTTAAATTTATTTATTCAAAATTATTTGTTTGCCAATATATTTTATTACAAATGACAAAACGTGCTTAATGTAATTCATTCTTTTTATTTTTATTAAATTAGAATAAATTACAGTAATACGTATTTAAGTCGTTGACTTATGTATACATTAATCTCAATGTAAAAATATAAATAAAACTCATAGGCCCGTATTCAGAAACGTATTCATACAACGATGTTAGCGCGCTAACATACTATACTTTACGTCATGCATATTATAGAATTTCAGAGATAAAAGCGCGCTTTTATCGACAAAAGCGCGTTCTGAACGCGCCCTAATGTACATTTATACATGTCAGGATTCCAACTACGTATTGCTATTTTCAACAAATTTGTTATACTGTTCTGGAATTCCCTTAAATACTTTTATCTTGGCTCGTATTTGCTTCCAAGTTAATTGGTAATGGTTCTTCTTATCTTTCGACATCGTCTGCATAGAAAATATATAATTAGTTACGTTTGAGGATAACATTAATTTTATTTGCAAAAAATCTCACCTTATAATCTTCACCATATTTCTTTATTAAATAAGTGAGAAATTGTGCTTGTCCTTTTGGTAATTTAAGAAGTCGTTCTCTAGGAGCTTTTGCCTCAGATTCCAACTTCTCCATCACGTAACTTTTTGCTGCGGTCACATTTATTTCTTCGTTCTCATGATCCGACAAATCCTCGTTTCCTGTAACTTTTCTCTTGGCATCCTCCAACATCTCGTGTTTTACATTAGGAATTTGCACCGCTTCGTTTGCATCATATGCCAAACCCATTTCTTTCAAATTGGCACGAGTGGAACTCTCGTTCTTCCATTCTTTTTTTATTTGTTCGCTAAAAGTTAAAGTATAATAGAACCAATAAATAATAAAATATTTACAGTATGCTAAATGTAAAAGTATGTAGTAAACTTTTACCAGCAGCAGGTTGTTTGTTTACATATAAAATATAATAATTTACTATATATATCATCTATATACAATGTAAACTATAGGCCTGTTCTTTTTGGCTAAACTTTTGCACCAGTTCATCTTTCTTCCTTTTCTCTCCAGGAAGAAAAAAGAGAAAGAAAGATGAACTGGTGCACAATTCAACAAAAAAGAACAGGCTTTATGTAAACAATGTATGAATCATTGAAGTCTATAGGCCTGTTCTTTTTGGCTGAACTTTTGCACTAGTTCATCTTTCTTCTTCTTCTTTCCTCCTGAAGAGAAAAGGAAGAAAGATAAACTGGTGCAAAAGAACTAAAAAGAACAGGCCTTATGTTCTTTGTTGTTGCAACAGAGAGAGTGAATTAAAAGTATTAAAACTTATATCTCGCTTATATATTTTTATTTATCAGTATCAAAATCAGATTAATCATTATAAAACTTAATTACTTCTTTCTGAATTGTATTATTATCTAGTTTATAATAATTTATATAATTTATACATTTTATTTATATTGTTTACATGAAAGATTCAGTAAATATGTAGTGTAGCTCCCCCACTTTCCTATAATTTTGTAAATTTGTGTTTTCATGCGTAGAGTATATTCTGAGAAGGAAAATCATCGCTCAAGTCCCGTTTTTTGTTTTATACTGTACAGTTACCATTACATGGCATAAGAAAAGCACACTTACGATTAATTGGTTATTTGCCAGAATTTATTTTTAAAAGAAAGTTTAATTTTAAAGAGCAAATTAAAAAATTTTTCAAGATAATTAGTAAATTATATTCTTCAAAATCAATAAATTCCTAAAAATAAAACAAAGATTCTTTACTTTAATCAATTAAACACAAAAATTAGTTTTTTTTATATAATTTGAAGTATAGCAGAGAATAGTTTGTGATTAAAAATTTACTCTTTTAATTCTTTTTATGTGGACTGTAAAGTTTAAATCTAATATTTTTTAAAAATATATGCTATAAATTATCTATCATCTTCCTAATTACCATCATTAAAAAACTTCAAAAGTTAATTTACAAAAAAAATGGACTTTTTAAAGCGCCGATTTTCTTTCTCAGAATATATTCTAGGCGTGGAAATATAAATTTATAAAAAATCGGAGGCGTGTTATACTGCATATTTATTAAAGATTCAAAATTTAACGTAAGTAAACAATACATAAATATTCTATGTAAACGTAATCTTGAAATATACGGCACATCTCTACTTTTACGATGTAATAAATGCACGCGAGTTAGGTTAGAAAATTTACCATGGAATAATCGGCAGTTTCCGTAATTTATTTCGCAGCCTCTTTCGATTGACGTTCTGATTGTACTTCTTCTTGCGTTTTAGCTTTTTGATTCTTTTAATTTTCATTTTATTCGAGATATTTTTTCAATACACGTGCGTATTCCACCAATTATTTACACGAATTTACACCATTGACAAACTTAACACACGTACCTAAAAGCATCGGTGTTGGTCTCGACTCGTGCGCCGTTTTAGTTTATACCGGCGACGGCGTTAGAGCAAAAACAGAATGGCGGCGGCGAATTCGCCGAAAATTTTCTCTTTCGACGGCGGCGGTAATCGGCGGATGATAATTATCGGCAGCGGCGGCGAATAGCGGCGTCGTATATATCTATATATTTCAAATAAAAGAATTAAACTCTAAATTATTCAATAAACAAATTTAGTAGGCATAGTATGTATATAATAGATCGACAGGATCCACAGACTTGCGAGATTTATGCGACATCTGCAATAGGAGTCGTAACTCGTAAGAAATTGTCCAATCACTCGAAAGTGAGAAGATTAATCGACTGTGATTGGTCAATAAAATGCTTCGAAGCTTTTGAGCTTTAAGTAAACTGCAGCCTAATGCGGGGTCTACAATAGAAGTCGTAGCAGTCGTAGGGTCTTAAGTCGTAGAAAATTGACCAATCATAGTCGAATATGAGAAGAATAATCAACTGTGATTGGTCAATTTTCTACTTAAGACCCTACGACCGCTACGACTTCTATTGTAGACCCTGCATAAAAGCCATCACACGTACAAAAATTTTAGTCGTAATTGTAAGGCCGTAGGCAAATCGGCCAATCACAGTCGAGCGTTTAAAAGCGCGAGATCTTAATTTTGATTGTGATTGGTCGATTTGTTTGCGACCTTACGATTCCGACTAAAATTTTTGTACGTGTGATGGCCTTAAGTATTTTTCAATAAATTACAGATGACGCAATATAAGATATTCCAATCAATGTATATAAAACATTTATAGAACATATATAGCATTTCGCTTTCTTTCGGCACGCCGTATTAATTTTCAATGACGGCGGCGGCGGCGTTCAGCGACAATTTCAAAATCGGCGGCGGCGGAATTGGCGAATAATAATTTATCGGCGGCGGCGGCGTGGCACGGGTCTATGTTGGTCATCTACAAACTGTGCTTGTTTATACTGAGATGGAGAAGTCGAATATATAATATAGTTCAGTTAGTTCCAGAAAACGATACTCCACTGCAAAGAGTGCTGTAATCGAATGCGCAATAGAGTGGGTATAAAGAGAATGAAGCCAATTAACCGGAAGTCGTCATTTTACAACAAATATTTATGACGTAATTCCTCATCCTAACCTTTTCTTTTTCTAACGTCATCTTCCTCTAACTAACAGTTAATCGTAAAATGGCGGAACCAATCAGGAAGGAGAACCAGGATTGGCTTCACTCTCTTTATACGCACTCTAAAGGCCGTAGCACAGACTCTTGCATAACGCATAACGCATAGTGCATAAGCGAATCAACTAATCAGACTCTTTCCTTTTCTTCCATTCCATGGAAAAGAAGAATTTCGATTGGTCGATTCCCTTATGCACTATGCATTATGCGTTATGCAAGAGTCTGTGCTGCGGCATACCTTATTATGTATTATGCAAGAGTCTGTGCTCCCCGCTTAATGCGTAATTGCCATAGACAATAGCGTAGGAATTCAAATCTGCATCTAACACTTTGGCGTTCATACATATGAAGAATTAGATATAAAATAAATTCATATATATATATATATATACAGAGTGTTCCAAAAAAAAGTAACGATAAATCTTTCGCACAGGGACAGAATGGACTAAACTGAGAAGAAATAAGTCCTCTACCATTTTGCAATTTTCGCAATAGTTAACAAGATATTAATTGCTAAAAATTGGTCTTCAATAATTTGTTAATCAAATATTATTAACTTCATAGACAAACTGCAAGAGACAAAAATTGTTAATTTTCTTCTCATAGAACTCTAAGAATTTTAAAAAAATTTTTTCAGAATTTTTTAATACTGTATTTTCTTATGTTGATAAAAATAAGAAAATGCAGTATTAAAAAGTTGTTAAAAAGTTCTAAAAAAATTCTTAGAGCTCTATGAGAAGAAACTAAACAATTTTTGTCTTTTGTAGTTTTTCTGTAAAGTTAGTATTTGAGTAAAAAATTATTGAAGACCATTTTTTGACAATTTTTAGTAATTAATATCTTGTTTACTATTACGAAAATTGTAAAATGGTAAAGGACTTTTCTTCTCAGTTTAGTCCATTCTACTCCTGTGCGAAAGATTTATCGTGGAACACCCTATATATAATATATATAAAAGCAGTAATATAAATTAAACAATAAAAATAAATTGATAACTCTAAGTGTATTACATACAAAATATTAAAATACTAGAAAAAAATATAATAAAAATTGCGTAAACTTCAAAGGTGAATAAATGTTTTTTATTTCATCTCCTTTGTATAATGAGCGCATTTTATTTATGCTAAAAATGACTATAAATTAATTTCTTTCTCTCTCTCTTTATATTAATAATTGTAAAGAGAGAGAAAGAAATTAGTTATTTTTATTTTACAGTATAATATAATTATAGCATAATAATTACTTTACAACTGTAAAGAGATACAGCGAAAGGATATTTTACTGTATATGTTTAAAAAAACGTCTTTTACGTAAAATACCAAGCAACCAAAATATACACAAACATTTAAAAATTTTAAATATCCATCCGTAATCACGAATTTCAAAGTTCACTTTATGGTTTTAATTTAAAATACTAAAGAGGACCCTATCTATGGATCGGAACATATGTAATATTATATAAAATAAATTATAATTCGCAACAATATCTTGCGCCGGCTCTTTTTATTAATTTTGATTCATTTCTTTAGAGTCTACATAATTTCACTAATCGTTTTCATGAATTTCAAACTTAATACAGACGGAAAACAGCTATAAACTTAATAACAATAATTGAATCTGGACAGCCAAATGAAAAAACGCATAAGTGTCCGAGGAAGAAGCGTCAAATAGAAAAATGGCAGAGAACAATGCAGAAACTAACTACCGAAGATAATCCTCCAAACGAGGCCGCACTTGACGCAGTCGAGAGAAGGAACCCTAGCAGAAACTCGATCCCTCGAGATGAAATTGAGCGACAATCCTCTGAAGGACTCGAGAGGGGACAGCCACGTGAGTGTGCATATCGGAGTTTTCGATAACTATTATCAATCGACGCGAGATATCCGTGATAAAGACGCGTGTGTATGTAAGTGCTCGTTTGTCACTGGGACAAGGCGGTCGCGTGATCGTGAGGTGTCAGTGTATTTCCGGTGATCCTGATGTGAATCGTGATGTCTGTCTCTCTCTCCTGCTGTTTTCTTTTTCTCGCGTGTTCGGATACCTCCGAAATCTTAATCGGCTGCTCTTTTACGTGATGCTTTTCTTTTTTATTTATAGTCACTCGGCCAATACTTTTGATTGTGTTCTCTCGACATTGATCGAATATTCGCGTTCGATTTGTGCTTGACGGAGCTCGAGGAAAGACAAAGAAATATAGGAATGATGCGCGAATACGCTAAGGATTTTCGTCAGATCTAGTAGATTCGACTTAGGTACTTAGTGTTCCATGCAAGCTCGCACATAAATATTTTCCTGAGCGATTGCGAATTGCACATAATTTCGTTAATAGAATTCCTGAAGTAGTGCTTGGCAGTCGCGTACGATATCCGCTTTAAAAATATCCGCGATATGAAATCTAAATAGTTTTTAAACTAATACGTTACGCGTTTCCGATAAGCACTACGACTCGATTATAATTACTGTAATCTTCAATGATCTGCGTTTCTCAAAATAACAGATAACGCAATATTGATTGGTAATAATTGATAAATTACAGTTGACATTACATAAATACGCTGTTTATAAAATCCGCGAAAAGTAAGCAAACCAGAAGCAGTTAATAGATGTTCATCCGATGAAGTTTAATTTTTGAAGTTAAAAATTCGTGAGGTTTCTTTTTTTATTTTATTTTATTTCAACTCAATCTAAAGTCTTTATTTTTATTCCAAAGTTTATCCTGATTTCAAAGACCAGAAAAGTGATCATTTTACAAATTAGAGATTCTCACTAATCTCATTAAAGTTCCACTCAATATTATTCATAGTTTTATTGTAATAAAGCCGATCGTATGAGATATCGTAACGGGATGACAATACAACGGGATGATGCATTCACGCTAATTCATTAGAGAATAATTCACTTGATGAGTCAATAGTCTCTGTTGAATCGCGAAGGAAGCGGCAAGTGAAACAACTGTCGATACGGTCAGACAAATCGGTAGAAACTTGAGAGTACAACGTAAACGTATCGCGCTTGAATGAATTGCAAAGATCGCAGCGCGATTCTAAGACGAAATAGTGATCTTATGAATCGAAATTTGGTACATGGTGAAGAGTCCAGTTTCTCGAGATGATAAAGATATTTATCGGGTGATTGTGATTGTCGATGATGTCAGGACGACGATGTTTCGTGACTTTCTATTCAGCGTGACGAAGGATTCGATCTGAGATCGTCTTCTGATCCGTACATATGGCTTCCCGCAGGATCATTATGCTAATGATTTTATGGCTAATATATCGGGCAGAAGGCAAAGTTACGTGCCGCGGCGAGGTACAATTGCGTCGCGATTGCGAGCATTGTGCAGAATGCGACGCGCTGTGCAGCAAGAATCGCGAAGGTGCTGTTTCTTGCGAACTGAGGGTCGCTGTTCTTTTGCCGAAGGATCTGAGATATGATATTTCTCTGCCTAAAGTTCTCCCTGTCCTTGGTAAGAGCTACTCACTCTAAATTTTTGGGAGTGAAATTTCACTCCAAGAAAAGTGATAGCTGCGCCAGTCCGGCAAGAATGAATGTATTTCCTAAAAGGTTAACTTTAATGATTAATATATCGCTTCGCGAAGCAGAGCGACGCTTTCCTTTATCATATTTGTTCGTTTTGTGCAAACAAACACGTTAAATAAGCTTAATTACGTCAAGATTGGATGTAGGGGGGCTAAACTTCACATTTATCTTCAGTCTCTTCTTTCGGAGAGTGAAATTATTCACTCTTCGCAGAGATTAAAAATTGACTCTCGCTTGGAGTGATTTTTCACTCTCGAAGAGTGATTCTTCACTCTCTAAGGTCCAGTTTTACAACTCACGGTTAATGCTTAACCGAGGTTCAACTTATTTCTCATCTCTTTCCAATTCTAGCATTAGAAAAAGATGAAGAATAAGTTAAACCTTGGTTAAGAGTTAATCATGAATTGTGAAACTTAGCCTTAGAGTG